TGCACTGTGGAGTTGGTGTAACATCATCTAAAGATATGGGATGGTGCACAGTGCACAAGTATTAGCATCAAGAAATTACATAAGGTCAGATCATCCAGCATCAAACACAGGTGAAGTCCCAGTGACTCGATGTATGGATTATTATTACTATTTACAATTTCACAGCACTGTACAACAGTTTTTTCGAAAGGATCCTGAAGCATGCAAAATGAGTTCCATGATTGTGAATGTAAGGAAACCCTGATAAGTCCTATGATGAAAATTTTCCCTTTAGCTCCAGTGGGGTTAGAGAACAAAGTGAGATCCATGTATGGTTAATTAACGTAACATTGGGTTAAGTGAAACAGGAACTGGAGAATAGGCCTTTGTGGGTTAATTCGCACTGGAATCTAAAGGGTTGTCTGTTGAGAACTGAGACTGTTGTGAACCACAAAGGGTTAACATTTTGTGGGAAGAGTGCATTTTACAAAAAAGGGTATTATAAGTGAGTTGGTGATACTGAAGGAGTTAATGGAGGATATGGTTGCCCTGGACGCTCACTCTGCTTACCTGCCGCACTTGTGGACCTCTAGGTATCTCTTGGACTCATTTTAATCATCGAACACCTGTCCGGGAGATACCCTGAAACACTCTGAAATTGTTTCTCAGATCGGGACTGTGCCGAGGTCTGGTCAATCTTTGAACGGGAATCGCTTGGTCCCCCAAACTCCAAAGGTGGCATCAGAGGATACCTGGGGCTTAAGAGCCTATCTCTTCCCAGAGGTGTGGGAAACCTGACTGCCATTCTGCGATCAAGAGGGAATTTCTTTTCCCTAGTTTGTTGCATAATTGAAAGTGCTTCAAACTGGGTTGTTTTGCCTTCTTTTGGATCAACAGCAAAAAAACAAATGTGAGGAAGGCTGAACTTGATTGACACGTCTCTTTTCAGCCAATGTAACTATGTAACTTGCAGTCCAGCCTCAGACACTCGAGAAGCTGGGATGGCACTGAATTTTACACTCTCTATAACTGTTCCTGCAACTCTGCTGTCAAGGATAGGAGGCTGACTGGTCATCAGATGACACTGCCCAAGGCTTCTGATACTTACTTTGGTCCCATTATTAGGTCACTTAAGCAAATAAAAGAAGCATAAGAGCTGAGAACAGGCACTAGATGGCTCACAACACAATTGGGTAATCCAGCCCTCTTTCATTCTGTATAAATCTCTGCTCTCATATTACCCATTACCGACATTAGGGCGTGCTATGCCGTCCTACAAATGGAGGACTTTAAAGCCGTTAGAGTGCGGCATAGCACGTCCTAATGATCTGGCCCCCTCCACGTAAGGAGATACTTATCCTCCTCTTGGATTGCGATCACATGACTTGGATTGGCTGAAAGGAGATCCCCCAATATATAATTAATAAAATCATCTAATTATATATATACACTATATGGACAAAAGTATTTGGACACGTGACCATTACACTAACAGGGACCTTTTATGCATTCTAAATGCATAGACATTAACATATAGTAGTTGGTCCACCTTTTTGCAGCTATAGTGGCTTCCACTCTTCAGGGAAGGTTTTCCACAAGATTTTGAAGTATTTCTGTGGGAATATATGCCCATTCATACAGTACAGCATTTGTGGGGTCAGGCACTGATATTGAATGAGGAGGCCTGGCTCTCAATCTCTGTTCCAGTTCCCAAAGGTGTTCAATGGAGTTGAGGTCAGGGCTCTGTGCAGGCCAGTCAGGTTCTTCCACACCAACCTCATCTAACCAGGTCTTTATGGACCGTGCATTGTGCACTGGGGCACAGTCATGCTGGAATAGAAAAGTTGGAAGCATAGCATTTGTCCAAAATGTCTTGGTATTCTGATGCATTAAGATTCCCCTTCACTGGCAGTAAGGGGCATAGGAAAACCCCTGAAAAACAGCCCTGTACCATATTTCCTCCTCCACCAATGCTGTCAGGCAGGTAACGTTGTCCTGGCATCTGCCAAACCCAGACTTGCCCATCAGACTGCCAAATAGAGAAGTGTGATTTGTCACTTTATCGAACATGTTTCCACTGCGCCAAAGTCCAGGGGCAGCATGCTTTACAGCAGGAGTGCCAAAAAGGTAGATCCCTAGATGTTGTAAAACTATAACTACCTATACGCTTTGCATGCCTTTAGAATTACAAAGCATCATGGAAGCTGTAGTTTTGAACACCTTTTGGGAACCCCTGCGTTACACCATTCGATCTTACGTTTGGCATTGTACTTGGTGATGTGAGGCTTGCATGTAGTTACTCAGCCATAGATATCCATTCCCTGAAGGTTCCACTGCACAGTTTTCTTTGTGCTGATATTATTGCCAGTGGAAGTTTGGAACTCTTCAACATTGGAATCAGCAGAGTGACCTTTATGCACCATTCACCTCTCCACTCGGTGACCCCGCTCTGTGACTTACCTGATCCTCTGCTCCATGGCTGAGTTGCTGCTGTTTCTAAACACTTCCACTTTCCAATAATACTATATATATATATAAACAGCCCAGCAGAAATACCAGAGGATGTAATTTGCAAGTCCTATATTTGACCCTGTAACCTACCAAAACACCATAACATGGGGGTTACTGACCACAAATATGATTGTTTTAGAGCAGTGAAATGTATATTGAGGACGATATCATCAGTGAAAGTTAATTTTTTTTTGTGGGAAAAAATGCAAAAAAACAAAAATGAAAACAATGAGAGAGGGGCTATTTTCATTCCTGGGCTGCCATACGATCTCCAAGGCAACATAACCAATCTGGCAAATTCCAACGTGTAAAAACTGACCCCGTAACTTTCCAAAAATCCATAAACCCTGTACATGGGTGGCATTATTGTACTCATGGAACATCACATTATATAAATATGTGTGTGTTATTGCAGTAAACACATTATTATGACATGCACGGTTAAAATCCCACGCCGGTCCTGGAAAAATAACAACTATCACTTTTAAAAAGATTTTATTCGTATTAAGTTATGTTTCATATATAAATATTTAATGTGCAATCAAAACACTATTTCTTCTGTACAAAATGATATATAGTAAGTGTGAGATATGATGGTTTGGCCGCGAGGCCTTAATGATGATTGACGCCCATGGTCGAAATGCTATCTTTGCTCCATGTTTGATTGTCCTTGATTACACAGTAAACCTGAATATTTACCCTATGCAGTACAGCATGTGGTTCTTCCCTTTTGGATGCATTTTGGAGGCTAGCGGACCACAGAGCTACAGTGTTACCAATATCGTTATGCAACATTTCACTACTGGTCTAAAACCCAGGGATAGTTAGTTAGAAAGCACTCCATATTTCAAGGGGAAAACGTCAGTATTCATATTACTTGCATTTTATTTGAAGCAAAGTACAAATCCACATCAAAGGAGTGCACGCAGATTTTAAAGTAACTAGAGTCATCATTCAAGAAGCTTAAATCAACAGACAATAAAAATAAACTGCGTAACAACAAAAACGAACATAAGGCAAGGAAAAAGTCAGTTGCGATATCTATTATAGTCCAAAATTTTAATTCATGTTTAATTTACTTTGAAGCCCTACAATTTACACTGTAGTGAGTATCTTTCTTATCTCCTTGATCAAAGTTTAAAAATGCATTTCTTTTTTAAGAAACTGAATAGAAATTTGTTGATCATTATTTTAATTGTCATTTTGAGCGACCACTCAACTTTCATGTAATGCAGTATTTGGGTACACATGTATAAAATGTTGTGAGTGATTTGTCTGATGAGTACTTCGCACTTTGATTTTCCACTAATAGATGATAAAAGTTAAAATGATTATATTATTGTAAAAGGAGGAATTCTGATTGAAATGAAGCAGAATGTTGTAATGTTTATTGGTCACTAGAGGGCGCAATTAGAATACTCATTTTGTAGTGCAAGAGTGTGGTTTTTTTTTTTTTTAATGAGCTAAAAATAAGTCAGTGTATGGTGACAAATTAAAAAAAAAATTGGTTAGTTCTAGCTTGGAGTATCCCTTAAAAAGGACACAGAGTGAAGGGATAACTTGATAACTTGTAGTTATATTCTAATAGTTTATGTCTAATCAATATTTCTACAAAGGATGAACTAATACTTTTTTCTGTAATTGTACCAGATTGATTTATTTTTTATTTTTAGTTATCCCTGAATGACACTCTATTCACAGAATATCAGTTTTGTTTTTTATTGTTTTTTATATCGGTTAGTTTTTTTATTTGGGACATAAAATCATATCCCTGGTACCTAAGGGGTTAATGCACAAAGAATAATGTTTTCTTGGAGCTAAGTTAGTATTTTGAATGATCTCCAGCTTATTTTTAATTGTCCGCTGGGTGGGCAACTTGGATTTTGTTTGTGATTTCCATGATTTAAAAATATTAGCACCAAAATGAACAGATCATTAAATAATGCATATGTGTATATATAAAGCAAGTTGGGTTTGTTTATATTTTACATTTTTGCTACACTAAGGACAAACCTGGGAAAAAGAGAAACTCTGATACATTTGTGTTTACTAAAAAAAAATGCATGTTTAATAATAATAAAAAAAAAAAGTAAATACATAAAAATGCTCCTATTATTGTAAGAAGAGAATTATAAACAAGACTTTTAAAATGTTAATATGACTCAGAACCAAAATTTGAGACTGACATAATCAGGCATTGGGATCCCTTCACTAAACTTTAATGTATAATGATTTGGAGAACTGGCTAACATTTTAGAATGAAATAATCAAGTTGGCTACAAACTCTAATAATTTATTATTTTTTTGGATAAATATGAGATAGGTATCATCTCATATTTTATCTGAAGCCTGTGTCGATCTCTGGCATATCATTGATTCCTCTATTTCATCACTATTTTATTTTTAATATGCTTATGGGGTGAAAGAAGCATCTGAGATACATATTTATATATAAATGCTGTCTCAGAGCTTGTATAAATCTGAGCTATATGACCTCTAGCTAAGATATTGGCTGCAGAAAACAGTGTAATGGGTTAATAATTATGTTGATTTGGTGGGACCCTCCCACACCCTGCCTGACCAAGCAGTATGAATAGCTGTGCTGGACCCCTCCTTAAGTCACTTCATCAGTGCTTTCAAACTCACTGTCAGCTCTCCAGCACTAACAGCCCTTGGCTGATACTCTGTCACACTCAACGAGAAGACTTTCACTGTGGAATAGTTGACACTGATAGAAAGAGGATGGAATCTAGCTACCTAGCATCGTTATCACTGGGCGAAGAGTCCAGCCAAATGTGGAGTCTTAACAAGAGGTTAGAAGCATATCTGTCCAGGGTTAAAGCTTTAGAAGAAGAGAATGAATTGCTCCGGGCAGAGATACACCAGTTGCAGAGCAGCAAATCTGAAAGTTGCTGGAAAAATAAGTTTTTCAATGAGATGCGCAAGTTGAGAGAGGTCTTGGATGAGAGTCATGCCGAGATGGTCCGGGTGGAAGCGGACAGAGACAACATTTACGAAGAGATCGAGTTTATCAAAGAAAGGTGTCTGCAAGAACGCCATGCACAAGAGGACGCAAAAAAAGAGTTATCCGAAAGCAAGAAACTGCTGGAAGAGGAAAACCGAGCTCAAATCTGGTTGAAAGAAAGACTTCTTCAGTTGGAAGGAGAGTTGGAAGAGATAATCAAAGCTCACGAAGAGGATAAAGAACTGATGGAGGAAGAAATTTCAAGCATCTCCCAAAGACTGCAGAACTTCAAAGTGGCACCAGTGGTTATCCAGCCGGTCAACGTGGATGACTATGCGAATAAGCTCTCGGAGATCTGGCGAGAGGCGGTGGAAGGGTACAAGAGTGAAGTGTCAGTGCTGGAAACTAGCTTGTCAGAGTCCAGGGAAAACCTGAGAAAAGTGCTGGAGGAAAATAAGCAGAGCAAGATACACCTACAAAACCTGGAGAAAGAGATGCAGAGCCTCAAGACGAGGAAAGACCTGCTGGAGCAGATTCTCTCCACGCAGTTGCAGGAGCAGAAGGAAGAGGAAGGCAACCTACAGGTAGGTAATTCAGATAAGCACCGAATGTGATCCTGTGAATGTCAGAATCTTCAACCACTAATTAATTTTAATCATTTTCACAGTTTTACAGCACATAGTGGATTAAACTACATACAATGGAGTACATATATTTGTCTAAAAAGTGGAAAATATCCATCTATCCATTTATTCATCCATCTCTTCTATATTTGTATAAATGCCTATACTAATCTGTTTACCTACCTGTCAATCTGTAAATACCTATCAAGCTATATCTGCCTATCTAGCCAATACTGCAGCTCTGAGTATATGTGTACATACAGATATCTCCTGGGTAGAAGATTTGTACACATCCACCCTATTAGTCACTCCCACATATAAATAGTATATATTAATACATTCACATATGCATAGTGCACATAAACACATTTATGCACATTAGTAGACATCCATAGACCCATACTAGCAGACATCACATTATCAGAAAACACTCACACATCTACACACACTAGTACATAGCACTAGTACATAATACACACACATCCATAAACACACATTCATAGTACCCACTCAGGCGAGCACACAGACACTAATACACATACATTCTCTTGCACAGTAGTATAGAAATTAGCACACATCCACAGACAAACACTCACACATATACTCACTTGCGCAGACACATGCTCATGCATACATAGACATGCCCTAACACACATGCATCAACACAGACTCAGACATACATATACACATGAGCACATATACCTAAACACACTTCCAAACATACATACTACCAGCCATGCTTAAACACTTGCACACATACAGGGCCGGACTGGCCCATCGGCACCTGGGGCAGGCAGACACCTGGGTCTGCTGGCGGCCGCTGGGGGACTTGTACTGGCGGCCGATGGGGGAGCTGCGCTGGCTCTGCTCCCCAGCGCGCAGCTTAATGAGAACGGTGCTGGAATATGATGTCGTATTCCGGCCCCGGTCTCATTCAGCAGCGCGCGAGGGTGGAAGAGCAGAGCCAGCGCAGCTCCCCCAGTGGCCGCCAGTACAAGTCCCCCAGCGGCCGCCAGAAGACCTCCCTGCAGGTATTAGTAATGTGTGTCAGTGTGAGTTTGTCTGTCTGTTATGGTGTGTGTGTCTGTCTGTGTCATGGTGTCTGTCTGTATGGTGTGTGTGTGTCTGTCTGTCCGTCATGGTGTGTGTCTGTCTGTCATGGGGTGTGTGTCTGTCTGTCTGTGTCATGGTGTCTGTCTGTATGGTGTGTGTGTGTGTCTGTCTGTCTGTATGGTGTGTGTGTGTCTGTCTGTCTGTATGGTGTGTGTGTGTGTCTGTCTGTATGGTGTGTGTGTGTGTGTCTGTGTCATGGTGTGTGTGTGTGTCTGTCTGTCCATCATAGTGTGTGTTTCTGTCTGTCATGTGGTGTGTGTCTGTCTCTATGGTGCCTGTGTGTGTGTGTGTGTCTGTATGGTGTGTGTGTGTCTGTCTGTATGGTGTGTGTGTGTCTGTCTGTCTGTGTCATGGTGTGTGTGTGTCTGCCCGTCATGGGGTGTGTGTCTGTCCGTCATGGGGTATTTGCCTGTCTGTGTCATGGTGTGTGTGTGTGGGTCTGTCTGTGTCATGGTGTGTGTGTGTGTCATGGGGTGTGTATCTGTCGTGGTATATGTGTGTTTCTTTGTCTGTCATGGTGTATATGTGTGTTTAAAAATATTGTTTTTGCTCACCTTTTTTTTCCCCACGCAGCGTGCTGGTGTCCCCTCAACTGGCCCTGCCTCTATAGCTGAGATCTTCAAGCTTGATGATCTCAGCCAATCCAATGCTTTGCCATAGGATTGGCTGCAAAATGCCACTCCAATCAGCATCTCCTCATAGAGATGCATTGAATCAATGAATCTCTATGGGGAACGTTCAGCACCTACAGAGTGTGGAGGCCCTGAATGTAGGTGCACTAACACAGGAAGCACCTCTAGTGACCGTCTGAGTGACTGTCACTAGCAGTGTCACTTTGAAGCAATGTAAACACTGCCTTTTCTCTGAAAAGTCAGTGTTTACGTTGAAAAGCCTGTAGGGACATGCTATAGACACCAGTACCACTACATTAAGCTGTGTGTGTGTGTCTGCTAGTGAGTGAGCTTGCTTGCTTGCATGCGTGTGCCTGCTAGTGAGTGAGCTTGTGTTTTTATGTCAATAAGCTGATGTATATCAGTAAGATTGTTTGTCTATGAGGCTGTGTATCAATGAGCTTGTGTGTGTCATTGAGATGTCAGTGAAATTGCCTGTGTCTGCATGTGAGTATGCTTACTGTATAATTAAACGTTTTACCCTGAAAGGACCAATATTTTATATTAGAAAAAGCAATATATATATATATATATATATATATATATATTACTCAATCATCTGTCATGGCAAGACATAGCCTTACATATTACACGCGACAATATATGGCGCAGTGACTTATGGGGCTGGCACAAATTTTTTTTTCCAGGGCTGCTTTGTATCCCCAGTCCGGCCCTGCACACATACATAAACAGTCATCCACAAGCACACACCCATTTACATGCATACACTAACAGATATGCACATTCACTGACATACAGACACTCACTCACTCACTCACTCACACTATATCAATTTATCTCTCTCCCTCTAGTCACTTTCCTCAGGGAGGGAGAGAAGGAGACAGGCTCTATTGTCCTGAGTCCCTGTTTTCAAGGGGTGGAAGCGTGAGAGCTATGCACCGGGCAGTACAGCCTTCCATGCTGCTTACTATCAGTACGCACAGTGTACAGACAGCGAGTGTAACGATATGTCATCATATCCCAGTTCCTTCTGCCTGTCGCAGTGTACTATATAATAGGCAGAGGTAATGACAGTAATGTCACTAACCACAAGTCCACATTCCAGGCAGACAGTAATTAATGCTTTGTCCCCTACCCAGAGATGTCAGTGTAAAAAAAACACAAAAAACAATGCTCGCACCCCAAGGCCCAAAGAATGCCTCAAGAGTAGGCCTGACATACAGTAAGACAATATTCCAGCTATCAGTATATCGTACATTAGGCAATATTCCAGCTATTCGTATATCGTACATTAGGCAATATTCCAGCTGTTACTGGATATGTACATACACTATGCATTATTCTACCGCTTTGTAGTATATCTGTACTTACAGTATGCATTATTCTACAGCTCTGTAGTATATCTGTACATACAGTTTGCATTATTATACCGCTTTGTAGTATATCTGTACTTACAATATGCATTATTCTATCGCTTTGCAGTATATCTGTACTTAAAGTATGCATTATTCTACCGCTTTGTAGTATATCTGTACATACAGTATGCATTATTCTACCGCTTTGTAGTATATCTGTACATACAGTATGCATTATTCTACCGCTTTGTAGTATATCTGTACATACAGTATGTATTATTGTACCGCTGTGTAGTATATCTGTACATACAGTATGCATTATACCGCTTTGTAGTATATCTGTATATACAGTATGCATTATTGTACCGCTTTGTAGTATATCTGTATGTACAGTATGCATTATACCGCTTTGTAGTATATCTGTATATACAGTATGCATTATTGTACCGCTTTGTAGTATATCTGTACGTACAGTATGCATTATTGTATCACTTTGTAGTATATCTGTACATACAGTATGCATTATTGTACCGCTATGTAGTATATCTGTACATACAGTATGCATTATTCTACCGCTGTGTAGTATATCTGTACATACAGTATGTATTATTGTACCGCTTTGTAGTATATCTGTACGTACAGTATTTTACCGCTTTGCAGTATATCTGTACATACGGTATGCATTATTCTACCGCTTTGTAGTATATCTGTACGTACAGTATGCATTATACCGCTTTGTAGTATATCTGTATATACATTATGCATTATTGTGACGCTTTGTAGTATATCTGTATGTACAGTATGCATTATACCGCTTTGTAGTATATCTGTACATACAGTATGCATTATTCTACCGCTGTGTAGTATATCTGTACATACAGTATGTATTATTGTACCGCTTTGTAGTATATCTGTACGTACAGTATTTTACCGCTTTGTAGTATATCTGTACATACAGTATGCATTATTGTACCGCTGTGTAGTATATCTGTATGTACAGTATGCATTATTGTACCGCTGTGTAGTATATCTGTACGTACAGTATGCATTATTGTACCGCTTTGTAGTGTATCTGTACGTACAGTATGCATTATACAGCTTTGTAGTATATCTGTACGTACAGTATGCATTATACTGCTTTGTAGTATATTTGTACATACAGTGTGCATTATTCTATCGCTTTGTAGAATATCTGTACGTACAGTATTCATTATTTTACCACTTTGTAGTATATCTGTACGTGCAGTATGCATTATTGTACCGCTGTGTAGTATATCGATACGTACAGTATGCATTATTGTACCACTGTGTAGTATATCTGTAGGTACAGTATGCATTATTTTACCACTTTGCAGTATATCTTTACATACAGTATGCATTATTGTACCGCTTTGTAGTATATCTGTATGTACAGTATGCATTATACCGCTTTGTAGTATATCTGTACATACAGTATGCATTATTGTACCACTTTGTAGTATATCTGTACATACAGTATGCATTATTGTACCGCTGTGTAGTATATCTGTATGTACAGTATGCATTATACCGCTTTGTAGTATATCTGTATGTACAGTATGCATTATACCGCTTTGTAGTATATCTGTATGTACAGTAGCAATTTCCATTCTCTGTATATATCTGTACATACCAAAGGAGCAGTTAGGAGGGGGGTTTGGACAGAAGGATATTTTGTATTTTATTTTTACATTAGATAGTTGCTTCTCCGGCCACTTATTATAAAAATAAAGGTCAGTAGTATGAAGCTCCACCAGGCTTCTTGGGATCAAACCCCAGATGTTTTTGGAACCTAGAAAATCCCATTTAGGGGATTTAATCCAGCTGTCAGTATATTTACAGTAGCCAGCATTCTAGCTGTAAGTATATCACAATATTCCAGTGCTGTGTGTTTATCTGCACACACGACACACTGTATCAGCTGTGAGTTTATCTGTTCATACAGTAGCCTGCATTCCAGTGTACATACAGTAGGCAATATTCCAACTCAATGTATCTTTATATGCAGTAATAAGTACCCAGCTCTGTGTAAATCTATATATATATATATATATATATATATATATATATATATATATAGTAGTCATGCTTCTAAATTTGATTTATGTATATATATTCATATATATACATTAGAATTCCAGCTGTGTATATCTGAACATACAGTACCGGCATTCCAGCTGTGTGTATATCTGAACATACAGTACCGTCATTCCAGCTGTGTGTATATCTGAACATACAGTACCGTCATTCCAGCTGTGTGTATATCCGAACATACAGTACCGGCATTCCAGCTGTGTGTATATCCGAACATACAGTACCGGCATTCCAGCTATTTGTATATCTGAACATACAGTACCGGCATTCCAGCTGTGTGTATATCCGAACATACAGTGCCGGCATTCCAGCTGTGTGTATATCCGAACATACAGTGCCGGCACTCCAGCTGTGTGTATATCCGAACATACAGTGCCGGCATTCCAGCTGTGTGTATATCCGAACATACAGTACCGGCATTCCAGCTGTGTGTATATCCGAACATACAGTACCGGCATTCCAGCTGTGTGTATATCCGAACATACAGTACCGGCATTCCAGCTGTGTGTATATCCGAACATACAGTACCGGCATTCCAGCTGTGTGTATATCCGAACATACAGTACCGGCATTCCAGCTGTGTGTATATCCGAACATACAGTACCGGCACTCCAGCTATGTGTATATACGAACATACAGTACCGGCATTCCAGCTATGTGTATATCTGAACATACAGTACCGGCATTCCAGCTATGTGTATATACGAACATACAGTACCGGCATTCCAGCTGTGTGTATATCTGAACTTACAGTACCGGCATTCCAGCTGTGTGTATATCTGAACATTTCTTTATGATGTACAGCAGTACATGAAGACTTTAGGATCTGGTTTAAATAAAATGTATTATTACCTTTGAATGATTCTACTTAGGCGGTAATTCCAGTAAGGGGGGTTTCTACCTTTGTTAGGCATATTCCTTTACCTTAGTTGTATGTTTTTTCTAATTAACTTGGGTCATGCCCATATTACCTCTCTGACCATATTTATGACCACATACGTATTAGGTTTTTCCTAAAATAGTGTTGTCTTCCTTATTTTTCTTGTATGCCAGAGTAATATACTGAAGGAAATAAATCATTACTCCAGGGGAGCACTTTTCATGCACTGCTTTACCACATGTAAGGTATTGGATGGAATGTAGAAAAAGTATTACGCTTTTTATATTTTTTTATACATTTTTTTCTGGAGCTTTTCCTATTTATTCCCATATGTGCACCAACATATTTCTTACTGCATCTGTCATTTTATTTTCCCATTCCATTTTGATGGATGTTTGTTTTTTGATTCACAAATTTGTCACTCCCAATGTTAAAATAGGAGGTGCAAAAGTGTGCCCTTCCTTGAGTAACAGTTTATACACAAGAAAATGGTACATGCAAACGAAACAGGCACAAACAAGTGAATTTGACAGTTTTCAAACATATTCTTTATTATGTCACATATCTCCCAAAATTCCAAATAAGCAAAGAGGGACACTTTAATTTTAGGGGTGTGGCCAGGTGCGGGGATGCTCAGAGAAATTTTAGGTGACTTACTGATAACAAGGTATGCAACTAAAAACGTAATTTAGAACAATAACAATGTATCTTATTCACACTGACTGATTGCTAAACACATTTATTGTAGTTTAAAGACACATTACTGGGAGTATTATTGCTCTGGAGCTCTGTTATACACTCAGATACACCCAAAATATGGAGCTCCTAGAAAAGTGGGACATTATGATAGAAAAGAGGGACAGAGGAATTTGGGCCCAAAATAGGGATTGCCCCTTCTAAGTAGGGACACTTGGAAGATATGACATAATTTCATGGTGCCTCCAGTGACTGAGACAGAGAAACAATGTGGACATGGTTTATTTTCAAAAACTGGGAATTACAAAGCCTTGCTCACCCTCAGTGCATTAAAGGGACACTTCAGGCACCCAGACCACTTAATCTCATTGAAGTGGTCTGGGTGCAGTGTCCTTATACCCCTTAGTCTTGCAATGTAAATCCCTTAAACAACACCGGACATCACCAGTGGATGCATGATGATATCCAGCATCAGTGAAAACCTCATAGAAAAACACCGATACATTACTTTTCTTTGGAGAGGGCCTAATGCGCTCACAATGCTCACCACGCATGAGCATTAGGTCCCCCTGTCTGATGACATTGGAGGAGGTGGAGCGACGACATTGGAAGTGGAATTGAGTAAGTTAATAAAGGTTTTTTAACCCTTAAAGGGACACTGTAGGCACCCAGAAAACATAAGCTCATTGAAGTTGTCTGGGTGCAAACTCCCATCACCCTTAGACTGCAATAATTACCTGCTAGGGTTAACTCCTTGTCTAGTGGTTGTCGACCAGACAGCCACTAGAGGGACTTCTGGGTGTTTAGATGATTTTTGGTCACTTAAACTACACTGGACATCCTCATGCTATGCATGTTTTTTTTGGGGGGAAATCCTAATGTGTGAGCATTAGGCCCCCCCTGCCAGCTGACGTCGGCAGGGGAGAAGTGTGGGCGGAGCTGAGGGACATCAGTACTGGACCCAGGTAAGTGACAGAAGGGGATATGAACGAGTTTTTTTTCCTGGCACTATAGTTTCCCTTTCATGTGCCGTAGTGGGGCCACAAGGGAGCGAGGGCCAGAGGGCACTTTAGTGTTTGGAATACCGATTTGTATTCCTAACACTATAGAATCCCTTTAATTAGTAGAAAAACTTTTATAGCATCCATTGCATTTGGATTTGGCAATCAGGCATTTACCATCTTACCGGACAAAATGTCAAATTTTCCCAAATGTCATTTACAGCAATACTAAATATTTCGCACATTTCCTTCCCACATTCATTATTTCTGGTAGTATATAATTACTGGGATAAACAGGAATTCATTTTTAGGCATGCCCTTGGAAATAAAGATGTTATCTAGTTAAAATGTCGCCTCTAATGTTCACAAAGATCCTAATTAACAGGGTTTTTTACTAACATGTAAATTCAAAGTAAATGTCAAATTTAAGGACAAAATAGCCAAACTGGAGCAATTCTCTAAGTCAGCTGTGCTGTCAGTTCGGCTACTCTGGCCTTAATTGTGAAATTCACTTTAAACTTGCTTCAAATTCTTGGTTAGAGTTAGAGTTGGTAAATGACTTGGTTAGAGTTTATTTTGTGAATCCTAGATACCCATGGGGAGGCATTTTGGAATTCTGTACTTTAAAGTAAGATCGTATGGGTAGAGATATGTGTGGATTTTTTTCGACACATTGTGATCTATATGAGTCCCATATGTGATAGTCGCTCCAGCTGTGCATGAGAAAGGAAGCACGGGGAACTCGGCTCTTACAAAGTACTGTCAAGGGGATAAACTCCATTAGAATAGTGCAACATTTACTCCCACTTTTCACAGCGTAGGGCCAGTTCCACTTCTGTACTTCATTTTAACGAGTCCATTAGCCTGATGGGAAAGTCTGGGATAACCTCTAAGGGCAATGGCCTTAAGGCAATGTTCGATTATAGGAAAAATGTTCAAGATCCACTAAGGTCGCTGTCAGCATAATATCATAATGAAGTAGCCACAATTAATGCAACAAGCTTCCAAACTCTCCTACTGAAGATATAATGGAGGGGACATGGGGATACATAAAACTGGTGCCCAGTTGGTTGCAAATTCATCCTAGATTTAAGAAACGTTTGATCATTCAGACATTATAAGCTGTATTTCCCTGTATATGGTTCGTTTGGGCAAAGTTTATGGATTAAACGTAAAATGACACTAAAGTCACCCAGACCATTTTATTTCAATGAACCAGTTTGGGTGTAGTATCCCTGTTTATATTGCAGAGTTAAGTCTACCTTTAGTGGTTGTCTTCTGGACAGCCACTAAAGATTCTTCCACTGCACTGACCGAGTAAAACTTGGTCACGTGATGTATACGCTTGTAGAAAAGCACTGAATACAGTGCTTCCCTGTGAGAATGTTTGGATGCGCACACTGCATGCACCGTGCATTTACTTTACGTCCCTATTGTTCCTCTATGAGGAGCATTGGATTGGACCATTGATGGAGAAAATGGTGTATTGGGAGGTAGAGAGATGAGCAGGGCCAAAGACGCCTTTGTACTGGAAAAAGGTAAATAAATCTTTAATTTTATTAATTTTTATTGCATACATGAACTAACAATCTAGAGATATAACAGGAACTCTACAAAAAGCTAACAATCGAGTGATAAAATGGGTGACACTAATCCTAGCAGCTCAATAACTATTTGCATAATGGGAGTCCTTCTCCCAAGAAGCTTACAATCTATTGATAGACCCTACCTGAGGGAGACCATACCTCAAGAAGCTTACATATATTGGGAGAAACTACGCTAAGAAACTTACAATGTAATGGCATAGTGAGTGACATTGCCCCAAACAGCTAAAAATCTAGTGGCGTAATCGGAGATCCTACCAAAAACATTCACAATCTAATTGTATAATGAGCAATCCTACCCCACAAAGCTTACACTCAAGTGTTATAACGGGAGACCCTACCTCATGAGGCTTACAGTCTGGCCGCATATTGAGAGACCATGCATCAAAAAGCTTAGAAAGAATAATTTAAAATCAGGCATACGTGATATCACACTAGTGGTATGCTGTACAATCCATCCAACAGAGGATCTGCAGTCTGGTAGTAGTGTCAAACATGACCACGAAACCTCTATTTAGTCACAGTAGCAGCAAAGCAATACCTTTGTGTCTTTATTATCTAATATACTTAATGGTCAATATACTGTATTACCAGTCCTGTCATGTTCTCTAATCAGCAGAGAAGCCAGGATTGGGTATACTCTGTAATTTACTCTGTTCATTGTTATGTGCTAATTGCATTATCCTACAAAAGGAAACAGATGCTCTTTTGTACAGAATTATAGATCTGTCTGGCAGATGGCTAATATTTTGCTGCTCTTAACTTGATTTAAACCACTTAAACTTATTAGATGGCTAAAGATACAAGAAAATATATGGTAGAACATTGAATAGAAATGACCTGTACACATAGGTGCAGGACTGTTAACATATACAGAAAAGGATTTTCAAAACCCTATATGGAGTTTAATCACTGTACCTCCGAAGAGTTCTGAGAAATTTTAGGTGACTTACTAATAACAATGAATGCGGCTAAAATTCAATTTTTAACAAGAATAATGCATCTTATTCACACTGACTGATTTCTAAACACACTTATTGCAGTTTAAGGACACATTACTGGGAGTATTATTGCTGGGGAGCAAGGACCAGATGACTCAAAAAATAATTCTGCATGGGCCGGGCCACTAGGGCTGCTGGGCCCGTGATAATTGTCACGGTTGTCATGCCCTGACAGCAGCCCTGCAACTAAGCATTACTGGGAGTATTGTCGCTGTGGAACTCTGTTATACACAGTCAGACACACCAACAATATGGAGCTCCTAGAAAAGAGGGACATTAGGATAGAAAAGAGGGACAGAGGAATATATGTCCCTGTATGATTTACTAAACTTGAAACTTTAAAGAACTGCATTTTATTGGCCAAATTTAAAGAGCTGGAGAAAATGCTGATTTTTAATTTTTTTTTAAAATTTGTCTAGTTTGGCAAAACCCTTGGCAGCTTTCTGTAATTTCTGGTTTCGTGGGTAAACCTCAGAGTATTCAATGTTACTTAATGTTATTCAGCATGTCAAAAGTATCATTACAGAAAGCACTGTGATTTAAGGGGGAAAAGCACATCTTTAATCCTTTGAATATGCACTTTATTGCAATCCTCTGTCATCAGATGCCCACGTAGCTCCTTGTTTTATGGTGTGCATGAAGAAAAAGTATAAAATATGAAGTGCGAAATACAATATATAGAAATATAAAGAGAAATAGTCCAAACCTAGATAACCTAAATTTATCCAAAAGTCCCCCTAAAGACCTAAGATGGGAAACACAGACAATATACCGTGGAATACTGTATACCTGGGCACAGCTGGCGTACCCCTTGTGCACACCTACACACATGAGCAGAGACATAACTGGGGCTTTAAAACTGTCAGAACAATAATCTCTTGTTTGCAATAAATCCTGTGTTGTCTGAAAGCATAAACCAGGCGTAAGAATGAGGTCGACATATCTTTCTTGTCAACTTTAGCAAATGTGCCACAAAGTGCAAATCCAAGATGGTAAATCCCTGTAGATTGTTATCTTTGTATCTCAATAAATATAAGGATCCCTGCATGGGCCAAATGTCACAGGACCTATTATCAGTGTATTAAAGTATTGCTTCTTCTTTCCAATTCGGCAGGATTTTATAGGAGACCCAGCAGAAATTCTTTGTTACTTATTAATTCATAGTCCCTTGGAGTAATACATTTTATGCAGGGAAACGCCATGGGTCATTAGTGTTTACAGATCCTTACGGTGTGAAGGAAGGAAAAATAAGAACTGGCAGGAATATTTGTCTCTCTTACATGGTTATCCAGTGTTCAGTGATAATTATCAAGAATTCAAAGTGAATTTCAAATTTCAGGCCAAAATAGTTAAGTTGAAAACAGAATTAACTCGGAGAACGTTTCTAATTTTGCTGTATTGGCCTAACTTTTGAAATTTACGTTGATTTCACTTTGAATTCCTATCAATTCTCAGTTTATTGAATAACGTTCTTAGTAAGAGTATTCAAAGCATTCACACAGATCTGAACAGTCAGGCTAATTGTATTATAATTTTTTTTGTCTTTGAAGTGTGAAATTGAAGATCTGGAGAACGAGAAACTGCATTTAAGAACACAGATTGCGCAGGTTCTGGAGGACAGACAGCAGCTCATGCACCTTAAGATGTCACTGAGTCTGGAAGTGGCCACATACAGGTAATACAGATTGTGTGTAGGTACATCATATGGAACTAAACAAAAGCAGAATGGTTTGCAACAGAGTAGTAACATAAAGACCTGTTAATTTTATTTAGCAGATTGAACTAAAGTTCCACAGCTACAAAAACATTATATTCAATAATAATGATATCTGCACAATAATATGCAGTGCATATATTATTCATCAGTGGTGGAGAAGCTGCAGACTTCTTGATATTTCATGACTGCAACTTAAATCTTGCTGAGAATGATGAGAGTTTTAGGTTAACAAACAATAAAAGGGCATATATAAAACCCAGCTGCACACTTTAAGTCACATTTTGTTGTTGCAACAGGTGGTAATTTAACAATGGCTTGTGTTTTTTTTTTTTTTTTTTAAACTTTGCATTCATTTTTATTTTATATTTTACACTGCACGTCTGGCTGTCCAGGCACAGCCGAGGCATGCCATGTAAATGAGTTTCCCTCTGCAATGCCGTGTGCGTGTACGGCACTTCTGAAGGAATGCTCAAATGCGTGTTTACTTGAGTGAAGAAACAGGGAACTGTCACTTTCTGAGAACTGACAGCTTCACTTGAAAGGATCAATCCAAGTACCATAAGCACTACAGCACACTATAGTGGTGATAAAGTCAGGAGTTCCCTGGCATCCCCCCTTTGTTGGTTGTCAAACCATTTTAGATGGATTGACTTCTTACATGGAGTCTGCCCGTCGATGATACCCACCTCTACTACTTCAGTCAGAGTGCAGAGCAGAGCTCAGCTCATTGGCTGTGAACAATCAGCTGACACTTTCAGCCAATGAGCTAGGCATGCACTGCAGGGTTACGTTTAGAAGAGTTAGCATAAGGTACTAAGCCAGAGCTGTTTGTTCTCTGTCATTAGGAGATGGAGGTGGGGAGCAGTGCCCAGTGGACTCCCGGTATGATAACCAAGTGCACTGTAGTGGTTATGGTGCTTGGAGTGTACTTTTAAGGCTATAAGTCTGATTGCCAATGACTTTAATGGCATTAAATTGGGAATTGTGGAGAGTTGGAAAAGGTGCTGACAATTCTAAGTCCAATTGTCATAAACATTCTATAACTCAGCAATGTATTAAGTCTGGCTATTTTTCCCTAAAATGCTATTACTTCACCAAATGTCCACAGTTCTCACTTTGGTAAATAAAGTCTATATTTTAGATGGTGATGGAACATAACATAGTTTGGTTCCAGATAAACAAAATCCCTGAGGAAGGTCACGTGTGCAAGGAAAATGCTTCGACCCCCCCCCCAAAAAAATATTGGTGAAAAATAAAACTCCATTGTTTACCAAATACAGTAAATGTAAAAAAATAAAAAAAATAAAATGAATTTATTATATATTTTACATTACATATCTAAGATAAGATGGTCCTGGGAGCTCAGTTGAAATATAAAGTATAAAAAATACATTTTTAGTATTTAAAAAAAATATATCGTAATTTAGCCCTAAAAATGTTCATAGCTTACACACTTTAAATCCGTTTTCATTTAACTATATATTTAGCGATTCTATTAATTTCATTGAAGCCTGATGTGATTGTGCAACAAGGTATTTTGTGGGGGACAAGCATGGCTTCTCTTTGTACAGAACACAAAAGAAAACTATAGACTGCACTGTATGGGGCCGCCACAAAATGAGATCATCCGATGTCCTAATAAAGATTAGTCTCTGGGGGTGTGGGGGAGATCAACGGATACATTTTAATCCACAATTTAGGAAGTTAAACTTTAACAAAAGTCAAGATTGGCAACGCTTCAAAAAAGAAACAGACAAAAGAAAACAAGCAAACAAATATTTTAGGGAAATCTAAAAATATTTCTAGCATTTTGTCAGGCTAATACGTTTTCTGTCAGAGCATCTTCTCTTGTTTCATTTATTCCATGTTATCCATGGGAATGTGTACTAGCTCAGCATTATTCCTTCTCATCCACCAGCGAGCCCCCACTCCATTTCTCTGAGACCTTCCAGATGGTGTCAAACAAAAGCTGACTGGCCATTAGCATGATAATGCAGTTCTATTGGTGGTGGGGCTGTACATTTCTCTCCTGAGACCTGCCATTATGTCATCGGGTTGGCCATATCACAGAGGGATACATCTTCTATAAACTAAGGGGAGGAATGTAAAGTGTAGACATCTGAAGGACTTATTAAAGAACTTGCGTGTGTGTGTGTGCCCATTTGAGACTGAGAAGTAAGATGCTCTGTGTGACAACACACAAGGGTTTGAAGACAATGGGTGATACAAGCTGACAATCCACGCTAACGAGGCATGTTTTGGAAGTTACTGCAGTAAAATGCTAGTTTGTTTCGAACATCAATTCCAACAAAAACACAGCGAGGATGACACAATCCTTTGTTCTCTAAAAGAGATTTTGTTTGCGATTGAACTTTGACCTTTGTCATGTAAATGTAAAAATAAAGTATGAATATTAAGTACATTAGCAGTGTCGCAGATGTCACTATTGATCTCTATGGGGCCTTACATCCACCTGTCCCTTTCTATAAAGTAAATGTGATTGCCTACATTTATTGGACTATTGGGCAGAAAAAGCACTGTGCAAAACAGAGAAAGATAACTGATTAAAAAGTTTTTTTTTATTTTTTCTACCAGTAACAAACAAGTACTATTAGCCATTAGAACAAGTTAAAGGATCAGTTATTTTATAAAGATGAACTGTCATCTCTCAGTTGGTGCCATTTTCACATTTAGTCACCCAAACAAATATTATTGAATTTACTGGGGTGAGGAGTGCCCTAGGCAGGATGTACTGGGTTCAGGCCGGGACCCAGCCACATCACACACATTTAATAAAGTCCCTGTTTGTCTCCACCTGTACCGTCCCTCTCTGTCCCCTCTACCACCCAATAGCGTCTCCCGTTCTGCCCCCCCATAAAGCCTCTTCTTCTCTTTCGCCGATAATGCAGTTCTCTGCCTTCCCATAGTGTCTCTTCCTCTTCACTATAGTAACTCTCCACCACTGTGCCACCACCTCTATAATGTCTCTCCCTGTATCCCCGATAGTGTATTTTCCTGTGTCCCATTCATAGCAATGTTTCTTCCTCTGCCTCCATAGTGTATCTCCCTCTCTCATACAGTGTCTTTGCCCCATACTGTCCCCCTTCTCTGTCTCTCTTGTCTCTCATTCTGTCTAACCACAGATTCTCTCTATCCCTTCATTGTGTCTCTCTCATGTATTATCATCACTATGACAGTCGCTGCAGTTTTAGACTGTGATGTGATCAGGGAAAAGGTAATATGTCAAACAGCAATACACACCCTTAAAGTGCAGTGTTCAAATACAATGAAAAGTTTACCCTATGAGGTGAGTAGATCACATAAGAATTCCTCAAATCCTCGAATAAGAAAAACTGTAGGTACAAAAGATAATATGTGCTAATGGAGAGGGAACAGGATCATGTGGAACTCCTAAAACCTGGTTACAGTTGTATCCCCTCCAGTATTCATTGTTACAGTGCTGTCTGATGATATAAGTTATAAAATAATTTACAAACAAATCACTGACATCACCATTTCCTCGTTCCCTCTAGATCCCTTCTTGAAGCGGAGAGTACCAGAATATACAGCCCAGGGATGGATTACAAACTATCCTCTGCCTTTAGCGGTATGTTATACTGTATCTCTTATAAATACTTTGGGAAATAGGGATGCGATTTGGTGCACTGAGAACTGTCTAGTGGTGTTACTGGACTATTCTATGATATTATTTCTATATTATACGTAATTCAATGGAGCTCTATTTTATATTCATAAAGACCCAAAATAGTACAAGTCCCTGTTTTGAAGACGTATTTTATGAATGCTTCTTTAGAGGAAGCAAAATATGTTCCAGAAATGCTTAAAAAGTTAGGTCCATCCCATTTTCAAGAGCATTAGTGCCATATTTCTCATTACTGTTCTAGGGCATAACCTGAGATATCACTAGACAAAAGTTAAAGGGACATTATATTCACGAGAACAACTACAGCTTATTGAATTTGTTCTGGTGAGTAGAATCATTACCTTTAGGCTTTTTGCTGTAAACACTGTCTTTTCAGAGAAAATGCAGTGTTTACATTACAGAAAGGTGATAACATCACTGGCCACTCCTTAGATGGCTGTTAGAGATCCTTTCTGGGTCATGGCTGCCTATAATTCATACAAACATTCAGTTTCTCCTCCCTCTGCATGCAGACACTGAACTTTCCTCATAGAGATGAATTGATTCAATTCATCTCTATGAGGAGATGCTGATTGGCCAGGGCTGTGTTTGAATCATGCTGGCTCTGCCCCTGATCTGCCTCTTTGTCAGTCTCAGCCAATCCTATGGGGAAGCACTGTTATTGGATCAGGCTACCACTTTTGATGATGTCAGCAGACTGCTTGTTTTTCCGAGTCAAACAGCATGCAGAGTTACAGCTTCAGGCTTGAATACAGTACAATTTTACTATATTTATGGAGGCATGAGGGGGCCCAGGGGGGCTAGATGGTGGTTTTAACACTATAGGGTCAGGGATACCTGTTTGCACAGGACCTGTACCATTGCTCTTTGTCTATTTAAATAACACAATATGGTCCCTATATTCAATGGACATATTATAATGAGGGTATTTTTTATTTGCTTATTGGGCACTTTATTTGATATTATAAAGGGATAGAAAAAGCAAAAGCAAAACATGTTTTTGTTCCGATTTAATTCTTGTCTGTATATATGTTGTGTAATAAAAACTTATTCCAATTTACTAAGCATGGAAAGAGGAGAATTGAAAAAAATAAATAGTCTATCAACATTTTCTAAGACAGATGTTTTTGGATACAATTTCCTATTCTTTTGTCATTTCTCCACAATTCTTGATTTTGTAAATAACCCCATGCTAAATGTAATGTTAGAGGCAAATTCTCTGTCAACTAATAAAAGCAAGTACTGCAGTCAGTTCTAATTTGTGGCTATTTTTTTAATAGATTCTATTCTGGAGCCGAAAAATGCAAGAAGAAGACAGAACAGAGATAACAAGAAAGTTCTGTCTACAGAATATAATCTGAGCTCCAGTAAAAAGCAAAGAGCAGAAAAAAATCAGGCATCAAGGACATCTGCACACCACCTCCTGAATGTGAAAAATACTTCATATGAAAAAAGGACAAGTCCCGTTACCAAAGAGTTCCAGAAAGTCAGCTCAGTGCTCCAGTCTCAAAGCAATACCAAAGCTCCCATTGCTAAAGCAGTGTCTTCACTACCTGCGCTCGAAAGCAGTTTTGAGAGGCGCTCTCAGTCTGCAGATGTTTTCAGGAAAACGAACAGCAAAACAGTTTCCCCTTCCTATTCACTTGATTCATCGAAAGACAAAGGTCTTCAAGAGGAGAAAAAAGATACAAAGGACTTGGCTGTATTAAAAGAGCATATTTACTCTACCGAAGAGAGGGATTCAAGGAAAAAGGAAGCTCAAGATAAAGTCAATATTAAATCTCGTTCTACAAGTTCACAGGAAGCCCCCACTTCACAGCTGAAAGAAGATAATTTAGACGTAACTTTGAAAAACATTGTTGAAATAAATAAATCAATAACCCGGGAATATGGCCAGAAAGTGCAGGAGAAAAAGGAGGAGGAACAGGAGATTCAGTTAAGTGAAACACATCAAGAAGAGAAGAAAAATCTCAATGTGCCTAAACATGACACGTCGGAAGATATAGTTCTTAATATTGCTTATCAAGATGGATCTTATAAAAGTACAGAGGCCATACAAGCTTCTGAAGAACATGAGACAACAAGAGAAACCATCAGTTATCAGAGCATAGATTTCAGCCTACAGGATGTTATAGAATCAAATTTTTCAGAAGAAAAAGAGGTAGATGAAGGGAAAGTGGCAGAATCTCTTGATTTACATAAATTAAATAAAGAAGCTGATTTAAAACTTTCTCCAGAAATATCTGAATTTGATCAGAAACACGAAATTCCAACTTTCCAAATCACTGCATTTGAGAAGAAAGAATCTCAATTGTTGTCGATGGACAACGACAATGTGTCAGAAATCATAAGGAAAACTGTTGGAGGACTTTTAGGAAGCAACTTGAAAATCATGTCTGTAACGGAAGTTGAACACGTTCGTTATCAAGAAGATGATTCACAAAGATCCCAGTCATTTGACCAGCACATTGCTGACCAGCTAAGCTTAGAAGATGTTAATGTGCAGCCTAATCGAGAAGGGCAAGAGACTGTTGATTTAGATAATGCAGAAAACAAAACTATCCAGTTGCCACATGAAGAACAGGAAAGTCGACTGTCCTATGAGGAAAAATGGACAAGTAAGAACTTGGAGGAACCAGTTCAACAAATGCAAGTGTCCACTGTCCTTAAGCAGTATGCTGCAGAATTGCATGAGATTAAAGAGGATAATTTGCAACAAGACCAGAAAGTAGAGAAGAGTCTTAGCTTGAATGCTATGGCAGAAGAGAGTAAACTTTCATATGATGGAAAGACAACTGAAAATATAACTGACATTGAAGAACCAGTTCAACAGTCTGAAATGTTCACTGTCCTTATGCAGGCCACTGAGGAATGCTTAAAACTTGAGCAGGCAAGTTTACAGCAATTTCATGAGGCTACCTCTCTTGAGCTAGAGAATGCAGAGAACGATGATCAACAATGTTCCACTTTCATTGGAACTGAGGAAAATGTTGAGCAGATAATTGCCAGTGCGCAAGTTAACCAACAATTTAATAGCAGGTTAGAGTCTGAGAATCAGCACTTTGACAAGTTAACAGAAGATGAAGATTCCAGCCTTAAAGAAAACATTATAGAAGAAAAGGACTTTGGTTTCACCAGTGCTGGATTACACAGTATCAAGTTGACATATGAACATGAAGGCCAACTCTCAGATATTGAACAGAAAAGTGATACTACTAGTGATGATAAAATATTAAATGGTGTGGATGACTCCATTCAGATGTTGGATAACAAAATCAGTTTGGAACAATCAGTTGATGTTGAACAGGAAACAACACAACCACTTGTTATAGAAGATGACAGCTTGCAACATAGCCTGCTGAAAGAACCCAGTGCTAAAGAGGTTTTGACTCAACAAGTCATTGAAGAAGGAGCTGATCTAACTGCATCAAGTGAGGTGCACATAGATGACCAACGGATAGAATTAAAAGACTATGCCCATCATGTAGAGGAGAATCTACAGCAGACAAGTGATAATGAGGAGTTATGTCAATCTAGTGACCATGAAGAACACACTGCTATTCTGGAACATCAAGAGGTGGTCAGTGACCATGATGCAACTGAGTCTTTTTCTGATATAAAGAGAAATGATGCTGAAACTTTCAACTTGGATATAGGACTTTCGAATGACACAATCAAAATAGAAGTTGATATTGTAAATAAAGTGCAAGAAAGCCAATATGAAATCTTTGAACATGAGCATACAAAAGATGAAAAAGAAGAACATGCATTTTCAGAAAATGAAAATGATATAGCAGAAAGGCAGCAGGAGTGTTTTTTAACTGAGACAAATTTGGAAACAAATGTTTCATTCACAACTAAAGAGGTTTTAAACACTCAATTTGAATTATCTGCAAATTTACAGTGTGATGCATCTGAGGAAGAGAATGAAAACAAAAGCCCTGACCACTGGGTCAATGAGGTTGTTACTGTAGCAAAGGAGGACTTTCATTATGTTAATCAAAGTCCCGTGGAACCCAAGTCAGAAGAAGTATATACTGAGGAAATTGAAGAAATAAAAGAAAGAGAAAGGGGGCTTAATGTGAATGAAGAAGTAACAAATACAGTGGAAAACAAAGATATAGAAATTACATATACAGAGGAAAATGTTGAGCGTGAAGACAAAACAGAAGAATATGACCGGGAAAATGTAGAAATTGAAGAGCATGTTCATAAAAATGTGGAAGCCTCAAATACAGATGAAAACAATGAAGATGTAACAAACACAGAAGAAACTATTGAGGAAAGTAAAGAAAGCACAAAACCACAGGAAATTAAGGAGAATGCCGAAATAAAAACTTTTGAAAGCAGAGAAGAAATAAAAACTGTAGAAATTATAGAACCAAAGGAAAATGTTGTGTATGAAGAAGCAACAACAGTAACTAAACAGAATTATGAACATGAAGATGCTATACAACTAGAGGAATATGTTGAGGAAAATGTAAAAGCTTTTAATGCAGAGGGCAAAGATTGTGAAGAAGTAAGAAGAGCTGAAGAAACTATTGAGGAAAATGAAGAACACTCAAAACTAGAGGAGCATATTAAAGAGGATGAATTTACAGAAACAGTAGAAAATGAAGACAATGTAAAAACTGGAGAACTTACAGAAACAGAAGAAAATATTGAGCATAAAGAACTAAGAACAACAGAAGAACATGTCGAGGAAAATGTAGAAGCTATAAACACAGAGGAAAATCTTAAAGGTAATGAAGACATAATAAAAGCAGGAGAAATTATTGAAGAAAGTGAGGAAAACATAAAAACAGAGGAAATTATTAAGGAGAATGAAGAAATAACAATAAAAGAAGAAATTATTAAAGAGTATAAAGAAGTAACAAAAGCAGAAGAAAATATTGTTGAAAATGAAGAAGACTCAAAACCAGAGGTGAATATTAAGGAGGCTAAAGTAACAGAAACAGTGAGAAATGGAGACAATGTAAAAACTGGAGCAGTAACACAAACAAAAGAAAATATTGAGGAAAACAAAGAAGACTCAAACACAGAAGATAATATTCAAGAGGATGAAGTGACAGAAACAGTGAAAAATGAAGACGATGTGAAAACTGGAGAAGTTACAGAAACAGAAGAAAATATTGAGTGTAAAGAAATAACAACAACAGACGGACATGTTGAGGAAAATGTAGAAACTATAAATACAGAAGATAGTGAAGATGTAATAATAGCAGGGGAAAATATTGAGAAAAGTGAAGAAGACATAAAAACAGAGGAAATTATTCAGGAGAATGAAGAAATAATGACAAAAGAAGACACTATTAAAGAGTATGAAGAAGTAACAAAAGCAGAGGAAAATATTGTTGAAAATGAAGAAGACTCAAAACCAGAGGTGAATATTAAGGAGGATAAAGTAACAGAAACAGTGGAAAATGAAGGCAATGTAAAAACTGGAGAAGTTACAGAAATAGAAGAAAATATTAAGTGTAAAGAACTAACAACAACAGGTGAACATGTTGAGGAAAATTTAGAAACTATAAATACAGAAGATAGTGAAGATGTAATAAAAACAGGGGGAAATATTGAGGAAAGTGAAGAAGACATAAAAACAGATGAGAATGAAGAAATAACGACAAAAGAAGACATTGTTAAAGAGTATGAAGAAGTAACAAAAGCAGAGGAAAGTATTGATGAAAATGAAGAAGACTCAAAACCAGAGGAGAATATTAAGGAAGATAAAGTAACAGAAACAGTGGGAAATGAAGTCAATGTAAAAACTGGAGAAGTTACAGAAACAGTACAAAATATTGAGTGTAAAGAACTAACAACAACAGACAAACATGTCGAGGAAAATTTAAAATCTATAAATACAGAAGAAAATATTAAATGTAATGAAGATGTAATAAAAGCAGGGGAAAATATTGAGGAAATTGAAGACTTAAAAACAGAGGAAATTATTAAGGAGAATGAAGAACTAACAACAGAAGAAGAAATTATTAAAGAGTGTGAAGAAGTAACAAAAGCAGAGGAAAATATTGAGGAAAATGAAGACTCAAAACCAAAGGAGAATATTAAGGAGGATGAATTAACAGAAACAGTGGACAATGCAGATGATGCAAAAACTGAAGAAGTTACAGAAACAGAAGAAAATATTGAGTGTAAAGAACCATCAACAGCAGACAAACATGTGGAGGAGATTTTAGGAACTATAAATACTGAAAAAATTATTAAACGTAATGAAGATTTAATAAAAGCAGTAGAAAATATTGAGGCTAGTGAAAAAGACAGAAAAACAGAGGACATTTTTAAGGAAAATGAAAAATTACCAACAGAAGAAAATATTAAAGAGCATGAAGAAGTTACAAAAGCAGAGGGAAATAGTGTGGAAAATAAAGAAGACACAACATATGAAAATGTTAAGGAAAATAAAGATGCAACAACAATAGAGGAAACCATTAAACTAATTGAAGTTGTTCCAAAAACAAATGAAGATATTTATAAATATGAAGATGTAATTAAGGAAAATAAAGAAGTAACAACAGAAGATAATAGTGAGCTTGAAGAAGAAACAAAAACACATGAACATACTAAAGAAAGTGATGTTACAGCTGCAGAGGAACATATTGAGGAAAATGAGTTTTTAACTAAAACAGAATACAATATTGAAGAAACCGAAGGAGTGATAAAAGCTGAGGAAAATGAAGGTTTCACACAAACATCAGAAGAAATTATTAAGGGAGGAGACAAAATAAACAAAGAACTTACAAATGTAGAGAATGTGGAAGATTTAAGGGTTTCAGAAAATGAAAATATTGAGATTTCAAATATCACAGAACCTCATAATGAAACAAAAACTATTGCAAGTCCAGATGAAAAGGAAGAAAACATTCACAATTTGGAGAGGTTTGTGCAGCATGAAAAGTCAGAAACAAGTGAAGAAAGTGATAGCCCATCTTTATTACAAGCAGAAAATTACTCAGAATATGAAAATGCAGAATATACTGTCAAAATCTCAGAAATACCCAACATAGAAGATGCTCCTAAGGGTGAGAATGATTTTGTAGATTTGGAAGAGCAAACCAATGCTGTTGAACTGTCATCTGAAATTCCTACTGATGATTCTCATGTACATCATGTTGAACATGAAAATGAAAATGATATTGCAAAGTCTGAAGTTCAGAGTTTTATTGATGAACAGCAGGATGCATCACAAAATATCATCACCAAAACAGACAATCAGGACTCAGAAGTCGAACAATCTGTAGATTCACAAGAAGATTTCTCACTTTTGTCACAGAGGAGTGAAGAGTTTGAAATTAGTAGTGATTACCATCAAGAGAAAACATTGCCAGACACAACACCTCTACCTAACATGGATAATGAATTTGAGGATTTACCTAAGGAGCAAGTTACCTTACCATTAGAGTCAACTGACATTAGTGAAGAAAATCAATCAATAGAAGAATCTGACAAGCATGATTCATTAGCAGATGAATTTGCAGAAGTTGCTGTTGAAAAACCTGACGAGAACAAAGCTGCCGAAGTCGAAGAATCTGTAGATTCACAAGACGATGTCTCGCTTTTGTCACAGAGGGATGAAGAGTTTGAAATTAGTAGTGATGTCAATCAAGGGAAAACATTGCCAGACACAACTCCTCTGCCTAACATGAATAATACATTTGAGGATTTACCTAAGGAGCAAGTTGTCCTACCATTAGAGTCAACTGACATTAGTGAAGAAAATCAATCAAAAGAAGAATCTGACAAGTACAATTTTTTAGCAGATGAATTTGCAGGAGTTGTTGTTGAAAAACCTGAGGAGGACGAACCTTCTGAACTTGAGGAATCTGTAGATTCACAACAAGATGTCTTGCTTTTGTCACAGAGGAGTGAAGAGTTTGAAATTAGTAGTGATGACCATCAAGAGAAAACATTGTCAGACACAACACCTCTACCTAACATGGATAATGAATTTGAGGATATACCTAAGGAGCAAGTTGTCTTACCATTAGAGTCAACTGACATTAGTGAAGAAAATCAATCAATAGAAGAATCTGACAAGCATTATTTATTAGCAGATAAATTTGCAGATGTTGCTGTTGAAAAACCTGAGGAGAACGAACCTTCTGAAATTATTTGTAGAGCAGAAGAATGTAATGAAGTTAACTCTGTCTCTGTTCTAGATGTTGACACAGAAAAGATTAAAGTAACAACCATGGAGACATTAAGCCAGGGAACATCTTATTTGGAAGAGAATGAGTTTTCTGATAGTCTTGTTAAAAATGTAATATCTCAAGACGTTCTAAGTGAGGATCACACAGATGCTGCATTCACACAAGGATTTGTCTTTCAAATAGAAAACAATGAAACCATTGTAGAAAAGGAGGTCATAGAAACTAATGTTACAACTGGTTTTGATGAGTATACACAAGAGCATGAAAAATATGTTACTGATGAAGAAAGAGAGGAACTGAAAGTTTTCAAAGATGATCATGCTACAGAAACTGTGATGCAGGTTGCAAATGCAACATTGCAGAAAAACCAAGAAAGTATCAGTGTAGATTTTCAGTCAGTTTCTTCTAAATCTGAAGAATTGGTCAATATAGTTTTTCAAGGAAACCAACAGTTTGAAATTAATCAATATCAAGATAGAGTCTCAGACAGTGAAGACGCTGGATCGTCTGATGATGGATCACCAAATGCCACAATAAACCTTACTTCTAAACATGAAGACATCAGAAAAGTTATAACTACGGAAGTATATGCCGAAGTTGAAGTTACAGAAGAATTTACAGTAACTTCTAAGGAACTGGGACACATTGTTTTTAATAAAGAAGAAACCAAAGAGACACCTGCAGAACCAATATCTGCTTGTGATGATATAGTTCAAATAGAATGTAATTTATCAGACCAAGAAAAAGAGGTGACAAGTGAAAGCAGTGACTCATCTTGTGATTTGAGCAACGCCTCTGAATCAAGTGAGCTTAAGAGTCAATCAGTTGACAAGTTTGATCATTCTGCTCTGGAATTCACAAAATTAAATAGTGCAAACATTGACGCAGTGAATGGACAACAGGCAAATGAAAAGTTCGGTTGGTCAGATGATATGCTAAATGGTCACTCTGAAAGGGAAGACAAAGAGCATGAACAATCTTGCAAAAAGGGCTACATACAGTTAGACACTAATGCTCCATTTATGCATGCGTATGATCAGGAATTCCTTGGTGATCCGGTAATTAAATTTGCCATGTCAGAAGGGAAGGACGAGGGTCTATTCCAGACATTGCTGGAAACATCAGAACTGAAAGACCTTAGCGGAACAGAAGAGGTCGCGTCAGATAGTCAAACCACCAAAGAATCCTCGGTGTATCTGGATTCTGCTAATGAAAATGAATATACCAAGCTAGTGCAAAATCCCTACCTTATAGATAAAGATTTCCATGACCAACCTCAGGTAATTTCGACAAAGCTTCCCTTGACAGAAGAAGCCCTTATTGATTCAACAAACGTACAAGGAAGTGAAACATATGCAGGAGTTTCCAATGTAAAGCACGAGGATGAAATATCTTGGTCATCAGATGACTAAACAGACTAAATTGCCTCAATATATTTGTGGAGCAAAAGTGACTATATTTATTTTCTCATTACTGTGAATATATTCACCTGGTTCTCTGAGAATTTTGGTAATGGGTTCCATCCAAACAAGAAAGCAACCATATATTGGTACATTGGCATAAATGGGAAGATATATTTTAATGTCTAATGATGCCTGCATTTGTATGGTGTTTGTAACTGAACCCACCATTCTATGTTCAGGTTAATTTTATGCAAAATGCATTGGGTGTTCACTGTGATTCAGTGCTTTAAGCTCAAAGAAAGGAACCTTGAGCTATATTTTTTTTGCCAACTTGCTGTGAATTTTGTCAGGACCTTGTTGAAACCCTTCAATTAGGGGACTGGCATAGAGCGTTATCCGCACTGAAGAAACATTAGAAGTATAAGTTTGCATGTCCATATAGTATTTAATGAGCATACGTTTGATTCTGTTTGGTTTGCATTTCATCTAATGTATTATGAATGAACTATTAGGAGACAAACCTTTATACTTTTTCCATTTACTGCATCCTTACAAATGGATGCCCTGGCTTACAAACATATATGTGCTTTAAACCTTTATGGGATCATGCCTTCTTACATTCCCAGGTTTAAATGACACTATTATATTTTCATTACATTTGACAGAGCCTTAAATGTTGTAGGATCATTTTCAGTTCAATAGCGAAATAAGTTAGCATATCATTGCTTGACCTTATAGAATTCTCATACCTTTTATTTTGCAAATAACATGCTCAAATCATATCTTAGTGCTTTGGCATACATAGTAGCATGACATAAGCTGGCCTCTTAGTGGGACCTCTGCATTAAACAGATACCCAAAGGGGGGTACACATGTCATAGTTGCCTAGACAGCATATAGAGTAAGATTATTATTTTTTTTAATTTTTGTAAAAAAACATTCTGTGCAACCTGGCTACCTACAATTCACTCTGGTACAAATAAACAAAGTACAAAGCAGTACCAGTGTCAATTGCCTTATAACGAGTGATTTTAGAAATGGAACAAAGCTACAATGTTACTATAGGAATAAGTTAATTACATTGGTAAAATGCATGTTTTGATTTTATTATAAATAATTTCAGCAGTAAAATATTTAAATTACATCAAACTTAGAAATAAGAAACATATGGGTCATACTTATATAATTATGATCTTAGACGAACAGTGCCTTTTCTGCTTCATCCCCTTAAAACACGCATACATTTTTTTTTTTTTTTTTTTTAAAGCTGCTAGTTGGCAAAACTTTAAATTTCTAAGAAGTTTAAAAAAAATGTATTAAAGGTTTGTTTCATGCTGAACATGGGATTGGTGAAATCAGACCATCACTATCAGCAATTCCCAAAAAGGTTTCCTATTTTCTTGCACTGTAGAGAACTGGATACTACGCAGCAAATCGTAGATTCTGATTGGCTGCTGTAATCACACACTCTCTGCAACAGTGTCTTCTTATATCAATATATGAAAACGTTGGCACAGTTCCAAAATGGCCACCTCCATAATGATGTTCGAGCAGATCTTCCAGCAGTAGTTATAGCTAAACTAACTATATCTGGATAGATGAAGAGATTATAATCTGTGTGGCATATTGCTTTAAACTGATTTTTAGTAATAAAATATCATTGACAGCTCCACTTTAATAAAATACAGGTACAGGTAACAGCTACACTGGGTCATGCGGATTCTCTAAGAGGATGTTACATTAAAAAAAAAAAGAAACAATTAAACAAGTGATTGGAAAAAAAATGAATTGGCTCACTTAATATTATGATGTGACCCATGATGTATTATTGTGTAATCCTTTAACATGTCTATTGGTATCTGTAGGTTAGGCATCACTAATTGTGAACATATACGGCTGGTATCCACGATTGATGAGAAGTAACCCATTCAAAAGTTATTTGACATTACACAGCCATTTAGAAGGTGGCCACTTTGGCAGGGATACCTCTTGTTCTTGTTGTGTAAGCAGAGTACTGTCTCAAGCAAACAGTGAATCTATAGCCGATGAGAAATATTCATGACGCTCAGCTATTTTGGCCATTATATTATTATCTTATTATAATATATAAGATATGTAATTAATGATGCTACCATTTGAAATGACTCTTACAGATACCAATCTCACCAGCATCAATGAATGTGGACACTGGAAAGCTAAAAAAAAAAAAGACTGAAATGTGTAAATAATTTATAAAGGAAACTTATAAGACAAAAAAAGTTGAAATCATGTGCCTTCCCTAAGAATTAATTAATAAAATTTGCTATTGTATCTTTTATTGTCGATTTATTTTTTTCATTGATTTGTCAGCAATAGTTTTTTTTAGAAACTCTAAGATGTTAGCTTTGACAATTCTATAGATCTGAAGAATACCATGCAGTGTTTTGCTGGCCTACATGCTTATCGCAATAATTTACTGATAAGTCACTAACTGCTATAGTAAAAAAATAACAATAATCCTTACATGGTACAAAGTACATTTGTAATTGTTGGCTGCCGAAAGTGGTAATGTCTTCCATAGAGATTAAAGGGACACTATAGGCACCAAAACAACTTTAGCTTAATGACGCAGTCTTGGTGTACAGATCAGGTCCTTGCAATCTCACTGCTCATTTCTCTGTCATATAGAAGTTACATTTGTTAACTTTATTCATACAGCTCCACCTCTGCTGTCTGTGACTTACACAGTGTATACACACGTCTTGAAAAAGAGTCTACCTTTATTTTATTCCTTATTGCACAGTGTGTTTAATTTTAAATTTCTTATCTCCTGCACTGTTACTAGTCTGCTGGATTGATAATGAAACCTTTTTTTAAGAATGGAGGTTAGAATGGAGGGTAGAAGTAGGAGGCTTGAGGCAGCAGCTCACACAACAGCATGGAGGCCGAGGAGAGGCTGGAGTGAGCTGGTGCATGCTCACTCCCATCAGCCTCAGCCAGGACCAGAACCCTAAGCAAGCCACCCTCCTGGACACAAAGGTAAGCTAACAGGTGGGTGATTGCAAATGCAAACATGTTATCATGTATGTGTTTATGTATGTCAGATTGTGTGTGTATGTGTGTGTGTCAAGGTGTGTATCTGTGTGTTAATGAGTATGAATATCTGTGTAAGTATGTATGTAATTAAGGAGGCTTCACTTCCTTGTTGATGGTTCAATCCAATGCTTCTCATAAAGGAGCATTGGGGTTGTGCCATGCAAATGCATCCAGTCTAATGCTTCTTATAAGAAAGCATTGAATTTGCTTGCCACCAGGCTAATAATCTTATTGCTGGTATACCATGGTCTGCATCTAACATACACTCTATGGACAAAAGTATTAGGATAAACCTCTTACATATTGAATGCAGGTGTTTTTTAGTCATACCCATTACAACAGGTGTATAAAATCAAATCTGAATTAAGAAACATTTGTGAAAGAAACGGGTCATTCTGAAGAGCTCAGTGATTTCAAGTGTGGTGCTGCGATAGGATGCCACCTTTGCAATAAGTCAGTTCGTGAAATTTCACCCCATTGTCAACTGTAAGTGGTATTATTGGAAAGTGGAAGCATTTAGCAACAGCAGCAACAAGACCACGCAAAGTCACTGAGCAGGGTCTCCAACACTCTGCTAATTCCATAGCTGAAAAGTTCCCAACTTAAATTGGCATTAATATCAGCACAAAAATTGTGCGATGGGAGTTTCATGGAATGGGTTTCCATGGCCAAGCAGCTACATGCAAGCTTCATATCACCAAGTACAATTTCAAGTGTCAGATCGAGTGGTGTAAAGCACCCCACCACTGGACTCTGGAGCAGGTGAAACATTATTCTCTGCTTGGCAATCTGATGGACACGTCTGGGTTTGTCAGATGCCAGGAGATCGTTACCTGCCTGAATGCATTGTGCCACATGTTACATTTGGTAGAGGCTGATAATTATATGGGCCTTTGTTTCAGTGGGTTTGCTAAGCCCATTACTTCCAGTGAAGGGAGATCTTAATGCTTCATAATACCAAGACATTTTGGATAATGCTATGCTTCAAACTTTGCGGAAATAGTTTGGGGAAAATCCATTCTTAATTCCAGCATGACTGAGCCACAGTGCACAAAGCAAGGTCCATAAGGATATGATCTGATACAGTTGGTTTGAAAGAATTTGACTGGCCTACACAGAGCCTTGACCCCAACCCAATGGTACACCTTTTGGATGTACTGGAACAGAGATTGCGACCAGGCCGTCTCATCCAACATCAGTTGCATCTGGCTCTGTATATTACAGCAATATAATGCCAAGCATATAATATGTAGAACATGCTTTACACATTACAACTAAATGAGTTTCCCCTTCCCAATGAGAATGGCATAGGAGGGGAAAGAAAAGAAACTTAAAAAAGGACATCTGAGGAAAACATACCAGAATATGGCTCTAGAAGGAAATTAATAAAGTTATGTCGTTTTTGGTAAAGGAAAGTACATAAGGGGCATTTTTACACAGGGTACCATAAGGGATCCCTATTCTTCATGTGCTCTATTCATCATATTGATGTTGATAGCCCCCCCCCCCCTTTTAGAATCTTCATTTTACCATTCCCACAATCTCCAGTGTCACCATTTCCCCCTTACATCAAAATGCCCCACCCCATCCCAGTACTACCAGCTACCACCTACTCCTCGTCACCATCTTCCCTTTAAGTGTCACCATCTTGTTCACTTCCATTCCTGTGTCATAATATCACACCATTTTCTGCCGCCACCCCCTTCACATCAGAGTGTCAATCACCCCTTCCTGTGTCACCTTTCTACTCCCTTCCCCTGTCACTATATCTTCCTCACAACCTAACGTTACAAAATCCACACCTCAGCTATCCTACAATTACCATCAACCTCAACCCTGCTCTTTTCCCATCAGGTCCACCTCACATATACTCTGGTGGTTCCATATTGCCCCCTCCTCTCCCAAATCCACTATAGCCACATGCACCTCCCCATGGTCACCCATGTCAATGGACAAGCTACTCATGGAATTTGATCGAGTGTGTGCTAAGTTTTAGGTAAGGTTCTATGCTTAAGAAAATACTTCTGCTCCTGTGAGCTTAGTCTTGGCACCACAGACACATCCTGCTGGCCAACACTTCATAGGAGGATCTTCCACGAGTCCCCAGACTGGCCTTGTGGAGGGGACTGCATGTGAGAACACCGTAACTTGTGACTACCTCGCACATCCCTCACCTTCCCACTGGTACTCGCTCACACCGACTACAGCGTGATAAACATACTCACCTCCAACACTGCCTGCAAGATCCAGAGATCTATGTTTCCCGCTGCCGGGTGTGCAGGGCGGTGGAAAAGACCATGCTGAATGGCCTGGGGACTGGAGTTCTGGGGAAGTGCCCTATTGAGGGGCCTAATAGCGGTGGAGGCTGGGACTCCCCCTCTTCAGGCATCGGCTGAGGCAACCGTAAATTTTATCAGCAGCTTGGCTGTTTTGCTGAGGATCTCTTAGTGCTCGATGTTCTACACACTGATGTTATTAGGGTATATTGCAGTGCCTTACCTATTTATCTGTTGTTATTTTTGATTGCCCAGTGGTACTTACCTTTTGTTTTCCTCTACAGTTCTACCATATGACCTATCGCACTCTTTTTTCTTACAAGATATAACTGTATTACTGATGCTTTTCATACCTAAGAAATGTGCAACCTGCAATTAGTGTACAATACACTGAATATTGTTTTATTCTTGATCTGATGCTGACCAATATGCACATATTCTTGTTACATCATTGCACTTCAAAAAGAAAGAATTTTTAAAAAGCTGGTTTAATTATTAAATTCTGATTTGCAGTCATTTGAAATTTGAAATGCAGGAAAAAATTCTAGCTCATCTATTGTCTCATCTTGGCTTTTTTAGATCAAGTTTTGCAGTTCGATTTCAGTTTGTTACAATTTTAAGTTTTGTGAATACACCCTTAAATTAAAGGACCACTATAGGCACCCAGACCACTTCAGCTTAATGAAGTGGCCTGGGTGCTAGGTCCAGGGCCGGCCTTAGGCAATTAGGCGCCCTGTGCAAAAAGTCTTCACGGCGCCCCCCCCACCTCCCACCAAGTTGCCTGAATACAGTAACACACACAGGCACCGGGGACGTGTGTATCACGAGGCAAACAAGGCATCTGCCTTGGGCGCCACTTTGCAGGGGGCGGCAAAAAAAAGCATCCCTCCAAACCCCCAGGCAGATCCCTTGCTTGCCTCGCATCCTGGGGGGCTCAAGAGCTGACCGGCTGGCCACTTTTGAGCCCCCCCAAGGCTGGCAGCGGGCAGCGAAGGAGCATACTCACCTGAGCTCTTCCTGCTCAGCTTCCTCTGCGCCGCTTAATGAAGCCGGGAGCCAGAATATGACGTCAGTCCGGCTCCCGGCATCACTAAGCGCTGCTTACTCAGCCTGTGCGCCCCCTGCCTGCCTGCCCAGCAGCCACACTGGACTGCTGGTAAGAAATCCACTCCAGCTTTCCCAGGGAGGCTGGGTGGATTTAAAATAAATGTAAAAATATTAGTTTGTGAGTGTTAGTGGAAATGTCTGTGTGTGTGTCTGTGAGTGTTTATTTTGAAGTGAATGTGTGTGTGTGTGTGTGTCTGTAAGTGTGTAATTGTGTGTGTCTGTAAGTGAATGTGTGTGTGTCTGTGAGTGAATGTGTGTGTTGGTCAGTGAGTGTATATGTGTCAGTCAGTGAGTGTGTATGTGTCAGTCAGTGAGTGTGTATGTGTCGTCAGTGAGTGTGTATGTGTCGTCAGTGAGTGTGTGTCGGTCAGTGAGTGTGTAAGTCAGTGAGTGTGTAAGTCAGTGAGTGTGTAAGTCAGTGAGTGTGTATGTGTCGGTCAGTGAGTGTGTGTCGGTCAGTGAGTGTGTGTCGGTCAGTGAGTGTGTGTCAGTCAGTGTGTATGTGTCGGTCAGTGGAGTCGTGCATCTTTCAGTGAGTGCTTGCGTCTGTCAGTGAGAGTGTGCATCTGTCAGTGTGTGTCCAAGTAATAGTGTATGTGTGTATGTCATTGTTTGTCAGTGTATATGAGAGTGTGTGTCTGTCAGTGAGTGTGCGTCTGTCAGTGAGTGAGCGTCTGTCAGTCAAAGTGCGGCCTTGACAGGAAGGGGTGGGGGAAATTTAAACTCGGTTACAGGCATGTACACACACACTCAGTTAAAGGCAGTCACACATACAGGCACAGGCACAAACAATGGCACAGCTACAGCGACACACACAGACAGACAGTCACATAGGCAGTCACACACACAGACAGACA